AATGGACATCTGCAAATAGCCAACGTATATGAATTTAATGATGTGAAATGAATATCGTATGATCCAGTTAAAAAAATAACTTTTTTAATTTGATTTTCGAAAAGGCAAATAAAGCTTGCTGTTATATTAGCAAAATTGTTGAGTATGGCTCTAAATGTTTATATTAAATAGATAAGTAGACATAAAAGAAATGGTTGCATACTATAGGCGAATTAGATCAATAGGTTGAATCTAACTTATGGATACAAATAATCACTTTAATGATTATACTAGTCATTAATAAATTTATTTCTATCTATACGTTAGACATAATCTATAGATTTCTAATCCGATCTATAGCACTATGTCCGTTGTAGTTCGTTCTTACTGTTTCCGTGAAGAAAAGTTTCAGTTCTAATTATTTATATTAAAAATATTTCATGATGATAGAGAAATGAGACAAATGAAATATTTTAATTATTAATTTCTTATTTATATATTTTATTGCGTTCTAAATTTAAGCTTTATAATTTATAATCTTATATGCTATTTACAATTGTACACTAAAAATAAAAAATTATAATGAAAATAACTTGATATATAGTTTTTGTATATAATTGCTTAGTTCCAAATGCATTTGTTCATACATAATTTATATTCATTATTATTAAATTATTAAAAACGCAAAACAAGGCTAAATTTACACTTAAATAATTTTATAATTATTAAAATTATACTTTTTTTGGAGAAATTGAAACTAAAATAATTCTTTTTAAATCAGTAATTTAATTTTTGATGAATTTTTATATAATATACACAAATCCGTAAAGTTTTAAATAACTAAAATTAATACATAGGTATATGTAAAATAATATATAAAAAATCGTCTGAATTTGGGTTCAACTAACTACTTGCGAATAACTTAAATTGAATTCGTTATATACTTCCTCAGCACAACTGATTAACTTGTATAGATATCCAGAATATCTTAAAGTATGTATTCAAATGCGTGTATATATATGTGTGCTACTTTTAATACTCCATAATATCCCAGCATTATTATTATATATTAACATTTCATTTATTTAATGAAAATGTGATTGAACGTTGAATGGTGCATAAAATAGTTGAAATAAGTGGAAAGTTATAGGACTTGTCCTCATCAATAGTGTAGCGGTGTTCGGAATTTGGATTCAGGTTTTACGTTTTATAGATCTATTTGCATTTACATCATGTAATTTCCGATGGATTGTGTTTTATAATATCTGGTGAAGTGGAAAAAGGCCGGTGTAATAATTGTGAGCTGTGATGAAATGTTGAAGTGTCCTGTAGTGTACCAGAACTTAAATTTGCTGCTATGCAATTTGCTGTGGAATTTAGCTTTTCCGGTGAATTGACGCGAATTTTTGGTGGTGTGCAATCTACTGGATACGTAGCAGTTGCATAGTTCGGATGTAAATGACTGCCATTGAGACCAATTGCTTGAGGCAGTTGTGGATGCGGACGTATGACAATAGGTTGTATAGGAAATTGCTGAGACATTTCTTTTAGATTACTAAAGCTTTGTAAATAACAACCGGCATTAAATAAACTCGTCGCGGCTTCTAGTTTAAATGGTGGCAAACATGCTGTTGGCATTCCTGCTGCTGCTGTCGCATATGAGGATAAGTTTACTTTTAAGGAACTTGACAGGTTACGTGGTTTATCATCATCGACACTAACATCTTCTCGATCGTTGGCACCATTCGATGTCGACCCAGGACTGTGTTGTAGCTGCAGACTGCTTGGAACGGGTGAGTGTGTACCTAATGATATATCAGAATCGGATGTATCTGATGGTGTGGGTGATGGCGCACCATCAGGTCGACGGCTACGACATGAGAGACCAGAGTTATTTTGATTATGTTGTATTCTAAAAAAGAAAATAATAATTATGTTAAACTTAATTAAGTGTTCTGATAAACGAAACTTATATAATTATGTGCAAAAATATAAATGTAAAGTAAATAAATGAGATGTGAAGCTTAACCAAGAAGTCGTAGGTATTTGATATGATCAGAAGAGGATTAATCTTTTCTCAAAATATTCAGTATGGTAAAACATATACATAAATGTTTATATTTTGTGAATATACAGTACGCACATTAGTAAAGCCCAAAATGTTTGTGGCAAGAAATCTATTTAGAAGCCTTAGCTCTTTTTAAAAAGTTAAAAAGGTATATGATATTGATATTTATAATATAAAAATTATATATATAATATATAAATTATTATAAAAACATATTTTTTTTATTTAAAAAACATTTTGTTACGATACAATAATTGGTATCCATTTAATTTTAGGAATAGTAAATGAGTTGTTTAGTAATAATTTTATGTATAATATTAAAACTGTCATAGCGTTACATTGCTTTGAAAAATGTTAAGGTGTCTTTACCTCTGACACCATCAAACAAAATCTGCAAGAATCACGCAATTTCTGAAAGATTTAGTTGAATAGATTAGGGTGTTAAGGCGTTTGTTATTATTACAAACAGCACCTCCACTTGCATACATCTATTACGCATTGTAATACCCTTAAACTTGCCTGGGAGAGACGAATTACAACAACCGCTGTTATTGTTAATCTTCTAAATAAATTGTCTTCTAGATAAAGCTGAGTAGATCCAACAAGTCTTATTTCGTTATTTTTATCAGGATGTACCAGGATTTGTCATGGATGTGTTACATGATTTGAATTATTTTAAAAGTTTTTCCGCCATAATTAAGACTTAAGACTTTCTAAACTTCTCTATTTGTCAGACTGAGATTTATAAAACTAATTCAACAGCATAAAATTTGAGCTTTTAATATAAATTGCACTTAAGCCTCGACAAACGTGCTGATATTTAGAGGCATATACTGTTAATATGTTTGATATCAACAACTACAAGTCCTTCTATCACTGTATATTGGTATTTCATCTTATTATTGTGTATTGGATAACAAAAAATGAATGCATGAAAAAATTTTAACATTCTAACAGATGAGAATTTTAGAAAATTTTTTTTCATAAAGTACTTTCAAAAGAATGATGATCATATTTCGTTTAAATGTCCAAACTCAATTAATTCATCACAGAAGACGTTTTTCTCAACTGATGAGAAAACTTACAGACAGTCAAGCGAGAGAAGCAACAGGCAATTCATCATAGCCGCACATTAGAAACTAAACGATTTCATTTTTTCATTTGAGATGGACTGAACTGAACTAAGTGAAGAACAAAAACACGCTATTGGACGTCGACTTGGTTAATAATCACTGTGGTCAGTAGTAGCAGCAGGAACTTGCACAATGAGCACAGATATGAACTTTTAAAGCTCAAAGCAGCTCATTGGTATTGGTATGAATATGTTGGGAATACAACATTGTGAGTGATACGAATGGTGTGATTGTCATTAATCACTCAACACGAGCAGTTGCCGCGTCTGTAGCTGTAGCAACTGTAGCTGTGGCCGCATAGGAGGCGAGTCGTCTTTGTTATTAATGACGGGCCAATGGTATACTAAATGCGGTAAAATCGTGGTAGTCTAACTGATAATTATGACAGTGCAGGAGTCAGCGTGATGTGTATGATGAATTTTTCCACATTAGTGCTGATGTACCTCAAGAATGTTGCAATTTATATTTACCATCACAAAATAAGCAGCAGATATGTTCGGTTATATGTGTGCATATATGCCATATACATACATATTTCTCAAATAAAATAATAATAATAAAACGGCATGAAAATTTACAAAAGAAAACAAAGCCCTACCAAAATATTACCAAAAGAACTTGATATGATGTCTGAATTAAGAAAGGCCTGTCTTTAAGCCAAATCACCTAATAGAGCTATAATCCAACATCGTCATTAAACGTTCATGTGTAGTTTCTTATTTTTTTTGTATTGCGTTTTGTTAGAGTTTTTTTTTGTTTTTATTTTTTTTTTTTGGCTTAGTATGGTTTGATTTTATTGAGCAAAAGTTACCAAGTGTGAGCAAACGGGATTGTTCATTACTTAATTGCTGTGGAGAAAAAAGAGTTCCGACTTAACAATGTGTGAACGATGGTAAACGGTCAATGAGTTGATTGTCGATCACAGCTGCTGCTCCAACTTAACTAATAGTCGTCATAATCATTATCGTGTGGTCACGGGAATCAGTGTTCATCGTCAGGTACGATAACTTTACGTTAATTGCTATTTTAAAATTAATCTTTTTTTAAATGTATGTCCTCAACTTGCTTGTTTCTTGCATGAAAAAGGCACACAGTATCACTATTTCTTAGCCATTTTATATACAATTGTTTCTCATTGAAATATACCTATAAAGTATATGAATAAATTTGTACATACATAATATATATACATATATTATGTATCAACAAGTGTGCCATTATAATAATAGAATATTTTTAATTATTAAAGAGAAATTTGTTGATATAAAAATAGGAAGGAAAAATTATGTTGAGATTTTCAGTTTTAAGTATAGACAATTTTTTTATTAATAATAAACGTAATATATGTAAATTATAATACAGATTTATATTGCTTTTGCTTTAACAAAGTATTTTTATTAGCCTAGTACTAACTTCCATTTCGCACAAAAGATTGACATTACGCTCCATTTAAAAAAAATTTCCTAGCATATCAAAATTTTGTAGAATTTTGAAGTTTTATATGGAGTTTTGTCAATTATTCGTGCGAAGAGGACTTTAGTTCTAGATTTCAGAAATAATAGAACCTAATAGAAAGTTTGAAAATATATTCCAATTTATTCACTTTTGTTAATATAGGATATGTGATTTTCAATTCTTTAAAATTCTGAGTTTTAATAAAAAATGTTATAATTTAAAATTTTGTCAATCAGAAGCTATAACTTCCTCCCATTGTACTAATATATTATCGAACATTCTGTCGGGGGCCATAATTCATGTTCATGATTGAACACCCATCTTTTAGACAATATATACGAATACAACTTTGAAAGAGTGCCTCATAATTATAAGCAATTCAGTTTAGGAGACATTCTTAAAGTTTTTCAAAATTATTTAACTGTTTTCTTTATCAACCAAAACTAGTAGCATTCTGATAAACAATTTCTGACGAATATGAAGAGTAAAGTAAAACTTTCCAGGCTTAATCTTTCAAAAAATTGTTAACAGGTAGAGCAATAAGTGCTAGCCGTTGACATGTTTAAGGATTTAAATTGTTTATTATATCTACTTTAATTGTTTTTCAAATGCAGAACATTACAATGTTTGGCATGAATATTTCCTTTTTGTGTTGACGGGTTTGTCTTCACCAGACCTTTGGCTTCGGCATATTCTAAAAGATCGTTACTAGTCACTATGCGACGCAAAAATCCGTTTCTTCATTATAATCATTTTCTTAACAAATCTGTTTTTCAATTAACATGATACTCCCAAATCCCCTTTAAATGTAGGTATTTGGAAATAGTCTTTATGTCAGTGTAACTTATCGTTGCAGTTGTTAATATTAGTTTAATATTTTTTCAATATCTTTAAATGTTCGATAATTTTAAATTAAAACCAAAGGCTTCCATTGACTGCTATAAAATCGCCCTTAAATCTTTTATCTATCATTTGGCCATGCAAAAAATTTCCGAACGGACTAATGTGGCTCTTCCTTATTCTTTCAAAAAATAAACAATATTAAATATCGCAGATGCCTCAGAGTTGACCAGGATATTATTAGTGCAACCAATACACAAAAATACAAAAAGTGACTCGGTAAATAAGATTACGGACATGCAATTCCAAAAATTTCGTTTCTTTTTTATCACGTATTCGCAAATTTAGAAATACTTCGCTTAAGAATAATTCGTTAAGACTCATGAAATTGTTTGACAATTGTTAGAATGTCTATTTTTGGTTTCAAAAGGAATGTGTTAGGAAAAATAATATTTAACTACTATAGTATTCCATTTCATATATGCTATTCTTATATATAAAAATCTTTTAAATTTAAAAATAGCATAAAAAAATATGATTCCGGTAAAATGATCGCATAAGGCAATTAATTTATTGCCTGTTTAATTAATTTATTTTTTCTTTAGTGCATAAATGAAAAGGAGAAAATAAAATTTATTAAAATCTTTAAAATTGAATTGATAAAGAATAATAAAAATTTGTTGTTTTTCTTCTACATATATGTCGTCATATATATAATATTTGTATTATATATATATAAGACCGATATAAAGTTTAAGGTTCAATTGCTTTCTACAAAAAATTCCATTTTTGTTTTTGTTAAAAAATTGTAATTATTTTGTTTTAAATATTTCATAATTACTTTAAATTTTGATTTTTTGTCTTCAAATTAAATACTTTAAGTCTTTGATGCGATTTATGTTGAATTCAATCTAATATTTCTTTTCGTTTGAAACTTGTCTAAATATAACCGATTTTTCAAGGTTGTTGCTTGAGTTAAAAAATTGAAACGTTCTTGTACAATTAAAAAAAAAAATAATGCATTACTGAGCGCATAAAAATCAAAATTTCATTGACGAGATATTAAATATTTTCCACACAATTGACTAAACATATCAGAAAAGGGTTTTAAATACTGAAATCCGATACCCTGGCACCTACCTAAATGACACGTAATTACGATATCTTAGAGATACTGACGTCTTGCTGTTTCGTATCGAACGTTGAAATTTAAAACTTAAAAATTTTTTAATCGGCTCATGTCATGCATTCATACATTATTCAGTGAAGTGAAGAGGTTGATGTGGTAATATGATCCACACAAAAAGTTCTGCTCTGCGTTCATTGTTTTTGATTTAAATTTAATTTTTTGTGTTATATTATATATAAATATAATTATGTATATGTACGTACATAACTTTTTGTTGTATTCTCGCATATCTCGTGACAAAAATTTTTTTCTTTTATTTTCGATGAAAAATTCTTGGGATAGGGAGCAAAAAAAAAACATTATTAGCACATAATTATTATTGGTATAATTAAAATTTTGACTGGTTTCAAATTATAAAATCTTATTAAATCATAAATCAACAAATAAATAATAAAAAAGTGAACATTACATAAAGGAATGTGGAAGGATCAACAATTCGGGCTAGTAGACAGGAAACAAAACAAATTAATAATGCGAGAGTGAAGGGTTATGTTGAATACAGAGATATATATATCATATAAATATACACTTATATATGTATAAATAATTAGAGAATGAAAAATATGTGACAAAGTGCATTTATTCTTAGTATCTTACAAAATACTTGACCTAATTCGTATTTCCAATGATAGATATCCATCATAATATATGATGATATACTCATATACTATATACAGATAAAGGAAGTTGGGTCCGCGAGTCTCAGAGCAGGAACAACTTTTTGAACACATTTAAAGTAGAAAAGATCGTGCGTACTTGTGGTTGACTTTAATTCAAATTGTCGTACAGCCTTCAAGCCACACACCTCAATAGTGTTCTAGCACCCCATCGACAATGAATTAAAAGCGCGTAGTATTCCAATCTTAGGACTTTAAGTTTGAA